TGCTTATATTCATAGCCATATTTCGTATTGTGTATCATATTGGGCCAACACATACTTCAAGCACATCAAACGTTTGCAGCTACTTCAGAATCAAGCAGTTAGATTAATGACTTTCAGCCCATTCTACTTCTCCTGTAGCTCGTTTTTTCCTCAGCTTAATATAATCCCAATTAGACAATTATTTTGTCATAGAATGTCCATTGTCGCCTTTAGACTCATCACGCATGACATTTTTATTGCATGCATTGATCATCGTCACTTAACTAATAGTAACATCACCCGGTTTTCCCAGTGCAATAATCTTCTTTCGCCGGCCGTGAGGACAAACTACGGCACGTTCTCAACCTTATTTACTAGCATAGCCATTTGGAATTCATTGCCTTTCGAATTCAAATCGTCGCACAGCATTCATATTTTCACTTCGTGCAGCAAGAAATATTCCGTTCAGGAATTGATCAACTCATCCGATTTGTGTAACTAACTGTTAAGAGCTCCCTACAATTCTGTGCTATTTTACTACTTCGATTTGCCTTTGTATAATTGTTAACACTGATAATGAAACGTGTTGCATTTGTCACGTAGAGTTGTTCATTAATATTGTTTTTTGTCTTCACTTGCTTTTGACTATTTCCAATTTATTTTTCAATAGTGAGTATTACCATTACGTTGTGTATTGATCGTATTTTTATTGTTAATCAAGCTTATTTATTATTACTCAAATGCCCGTATACTATTGCTGTATAGTTTTTTATAATTACCCCATTAATGTAGCTATACAAGGTCCCCCTGTCAGTTTCTCTGAAACTCGTGGACCTCCTGCTGTGAAACGCTAACCATGTAAATCAACTGAAATATTTATAAACTTGACTTGACTTGACTTCATTTGACATGCTCGCCGGCGTTGCCGCGCTAGGCGCCGGTCCTACCATATACTCGCAGGCGCGCTGCCGCACTGCGTCACTTTGAAGCATGCGCGTTCCAGCTCATCCGGCGTCCCTCCGTCATGAAAAGGGAGGTGCAGTGTTATCTGCGTAACGCATCGGCGCGAAATGCAGCATGTCACATTTCGCAGTGGTTGCCATCGGGCCGCGCCGACGGACGCTGGTCGCGCCCGTCGCGCCTGGCGTCAGTCTATAGATTTCTCGCGTTTTGCTAGCGTAGCATCGCTGTGGCCAGCGTGCGCGCGCGTCAACGCTGCATTGTAGTTGATCGGGCCCTTCATGATGCACTCGCCGCCGTTTTGCTAGTTCCACATTTATACTACTGGCGCTAACATGATACTCCTGACACGCGTGTCATGTAAGAACATGACAAAATACCACGCTCATAGTGTACTCACGACCGTTTCGCTAGCTCCACGTATACTAAATTGGTATACTGTGACGTGAATAGATGACGAAAGTAAACGACACATCCAAACATGATGATCATTACACGGAAGTCTTGTACGGCATCATTTACTTCCACCTCGTAACATTCCCTATCGAAAAAAACAGCGTTTCCTGTATTCCCAGCGCGTTTCAGCGCGCTGGGTGACACTGGAAACGCTGTACAGTGTGTCCCAGTGTACAACACCACGCCGCGAGGCACTGGCGCACAGTGTACAGCGCGGCCAGCGTCACCCAGTGAACTGAAACGCACTGGGCCACGATGTGCAGTGTAGCCCAGTGTCTCAAAGCGCGGTGGGAGACACTGGTCAGGCTGCACAGTCTCTACAGTCTCTGCACTGATAACGGTGGGGGCACTTTGGAAGGAACTAGGCGCGATCAGCGTACATTTTGTAGGGCTTTATCTTGAATCGCGAAATGTCGAGCGTTAAATTTACCGAATAAGTTGGTTCTCCCATCTTTGTGCTACACATATATAGCTTTGTTTTAGTTAGACAATCGATAAGAGTACGCTGAAGCATTCAAATGTCGAGCGCGCGGGTCAGGGGCGTCGCCAGGATTTTTCTGGGGGGACCAACGAAAGTTGTGTTCCTGCAGGGGAGCAGGGAGGCACAGAATTGATGCGTTGTGTTTTAACTATTTTTGTTCCCGGGAAGGGGGAGGGGGCATGTGAGAATTTCGGAAAAAAAAGGCTCCAGCCCAACCATGAAAGCGCCCCTTCAGGCGTGGTCGCGGTTTCCTTGAAGTTTGATCGAATTTCGTGAGTGTATTTCATAAACGGCATCAATAGAAATGATGATTGGAAACACAGTATGACAGTAGTGAGTCGTCGCATCTCGTATCGTAGGAAGCCGCACGTCCCTGGCAGCAGTTATCCGCTGCAATGCCTTATTTATTTATTTATTTATTAGAATACCCTCAGGGCCCGCAGGGCATTACAGAGGGGGTGGGTACAACATTTATAACACACAAGAAAAAAAGACAAAATAACGAAACAAGTGTCAGATGCGCAAATCGGGAAGGCAACATAAGTCAACTAAAAATGTATAAGAATTCAAGCGCATACAAGACAAAGATAGATAATGGAAACTGCGTATAGTTACAAGCATTGCTGAGAAATTGCAGTCTTGAATAACAAAGGGTCTGTTATTGTTACAACGGAAGAGGGAAGGTGGTTCCAATCGGCGGCTGTTTTCGGTAAGAAGGCTGCTGAAAAGAATTTGGTGTGGCAAAACGGGATGGCAACCTTATGCTGATGATCAATACGCGATGAGTGGTATGACGGTTGTGAAATGAGGTCTCGCTTCATTGATGGATTGTGAAAAAATATCTTATGAAAAAAGTGCAGTCGCGCCAGTTTCCTCCGGACAGTTAAATTGGGTAGGTCAAAGAAAGATTTCATTTCTTATATGCTAGCAGTACGGGAATAATTAGAACAAATGAACCGAACTGAGCGGTTCTGAACAGAATCTAACGCGTTAATTAAATTTTGCTGCACGGGATCCCATATAGCGGACGCGTACTCAAGCTTTGGGCGAATTAGTGATCGGTATAATAAAATTTTGAGGGACAGCGGAGCGCGAGAAAAGTTGCGGCGTAAGTATCCTAGCGTTCGGTTAGCGTTATTACAGATGTAGGTAATATCTATTTGTTTTTAGCTTCTCATTTGTGTAGTCGAAATTGACAATATGACCACTCATGGGTCAGTTTTGATCTAAACTACACTTCAACTATATAAGACTCTTTTTAACTGAATATCTATGACCTTCACAGCAGCCGAGGCATAAGAACTATGGCCCTAAGCCTAATGGTCGTTTCAGTTAGAGTGAAGTACGGCAGCTGTCGTAAGCGTAACGTAAATGAGGTGGACAGAAAATACTTCCAAACTATCAAGGGACAAAATCTACAGTGTTCACTGAGCAGTACAGATGAACGCTGATTTCTACATAAGTATTACTAAACGCATAGCGAGCCACTACGATTGACGTGACACATCTGCAGCTACGCTAACAAGCTTTGCGGCAAAACATGGCAGATGAATGTGATGCAAGGCAACCCGCAAAAACTAAGCTGACAATCACCTGTTTAGCGCGAGCACGAAGAGACGAAGCACTGCGTATGCAAACGGCATAATCAAAATATTGGATACGTGAATTTCTTTTAAGATGAAAAAATACATACATTCTCGTTTTTGAAGTGTAAAGTAATGGGCAGTGTGTCAAGCTCAAAATGTGTGATGTTTTGAGGTAATAGGTTCGACTCCCGCTCCCTCACTTTTACTCGTATTTTTTTTTCACTACGCGCATGTTTCAGCCTTAATTACGATGTGGGCATGACCAAAAATTTTTAAAACAAATTAAAAGCCACATTTTGGCTGGTAATGGGTGTTTCAGTGTGCTGTGCTAGCGTGCCTACTGCATTGTGGCACTGTCCCAGTTTCAGCGCCACACCTGTCCAGTAATCAGGTATGGCGCTGGGCCAGTGCCATGGGTTTTGCGATAGGACTGTGCGGATGTTGAAATGACATATACACCTTGCTCATTCGTGCTTTGCATATCATCAATTCTCACAAAACGTGAGATCTGCCTAATTTTATAAATTTGTAGCAGATATCTTATGCAATGTTTGTGACTAAACATAGTTATAATTATCCTGGAAAAAGTAAGGGTATAATGAGACTCCCTTTTTCTGAAACCCTGACGGTTCAAGCAAAATCGCGTCAAAATGCATTCAGTACAGCATGGATAGTCGTTATGTACATTACTTGCATGCACCTCTTGATTTATGGGAAAAAAAAGCGACTTCTCGTTGGTCCAACGTCTCGTCTGATGCATTTCTCGTCACTACTAATTCGCAAAATATTCTCTCTCTGAAATATTCACAGTTTCATTCAAGTACCAACAGGAAAAAAAGATTACTCGATATGTTATTTGAAATTTACGAATATTCACCCACTCGTACTAGCATTCTCCCACTTTAGTGAAACACTCATATACCAGGTCGCAGCCTTGCAGTAAGAAAAGCAATTCTTGTTTTGAACGCCATAATGTTGTTTCATTTTATTCGCATTTGCATAGTCAGACACGTAGCACAATATTATTCCAATATAATGAAGGCAATTATTGTTTGTATAAATTTGGCATAATAATGTCATGATTACTGCATATAAACACTGCATCTAAGAAGCATCTGGTGTCATAGTTAGCTGAGTATTTATTTAGTCAAAGGCTCTACCCAACTCTTCTAGCAATTAACAGGAAACTTTACAAATTTTATTAGCACTGGGATGCCACGGGTAGGTATAACGTTCGAAATTAATAAATAGGTGCGTTCATTAAATGCTGGCAAACATATTGTACAGTTTTCCTGACAAACTGCCATACTTAACGCTCGTATACAGGGACATCTGACTGAATACCCATGGTATAGTATACGTTGCAGTTTCAATTATTTGCCGGTAGCCATCCAACCGCTTTCGCCGTTTCAGGTAAGCTCCTTATAACTCTTATTTCAATCTGAGTTCGTATAACGACCAATATAAATAAATAGGCTATTAGCAAACAAATACATCATAATACTGAAATGGCTAAGTAAATGTAAAGCAACAAGAAATATTCAGGCTCAATGCTTTATTTCAAGGCTCAATCGAGCTTTTGTTTACTGTCTGCCGAACAGGCCAACTCAACATAAATGTTCCGGTGGTTCATTGAGCTGCATCTTCAATCTCTTCCGTGCGCGGCCTGAACATGACTTCCAGGCTGGTTGCAAGAGGGCACATACTTAGCGCCGCTGAAAAAAAAAACAACAACAAAGGCCTAATGGTCGTGCGTGGTGTTACGCGATCGTTTACAGCACGCAATTATCAATATATTAGTAAGAAAACAGGCAATATGATAAGCGAGCACCCTTGGGCTTGTATCGTACATACATATATTTACGCAGCGTACTGAATCGTGTTCGTTTCTAAATTAGCTCGACAGCTATTTCAGTTCGTAATCATATGTACGCCTACTTGGCGAAAAGGCAGTGCCTCCACCTCGCAGTTAGAAAGATAAGTTCTAAATGCGAAGCATATCTTTTTCAACTTTAACGACTATGAGCGTATCTATCTATCTATCTATCTATCTATCTATCTATCTATCTATCTATCTATCTATCTATCTATCTATCTATCTATCTATCTATCTAGGCGCCTACGATCTATAGCTTTCCTGGCCATTTAGATTTTGGTATCAATATCAAACTTGGTATGATATAACATGACTGTATTACAAACATAACTGACTAGTCATAGCATAACAATCATTACATGTATTTTATAAATGTCATGATTTATATGTCATAGTCTTGATACTCTTGCGGTGGTTTTATTCACTTGATATGTTGCGAAACTGTATGGTATGACATGACTGCATGGCGAACACAAGCGAAATGTGTGTCATGTCATGCGTGACATGCGTGGCATGTAACAACATGTGTCATGTCAATCATGAAATGCGTGCCAAGTAGCAGCATGACTACATGCCACACTCAAGATGTGCTCACGGCCATTTCGCTAGCTTTGCATATACCAAATTTGGTATTACGGGACGTGAATGGATGACGAAAGTATGTGACTGGCGCAAATATGATAATCATGAGACGGGTCATGTAACTAAATGACTACATGCCGTGCTCATCATTGATGCGCTCGTGGCTGTTTCGCCAGCTTCTCATGAACTAAATTGGGTATTATCCCTATCGCCGAGGGCTTTACTGCAGTCGAGCTAACGATATTCCAACAGAACGCACAACAATGTACTGAAGTATATTTAACACTGCAAGAATCAGTGCTTTAACATAACTACTTTGAGTTCGACGAAAACTACTACCTCCAAATAAACAGAAAGGCATCGGTACCTCATTTTCTCTCACCTAGCAAGCCCCGCCGCGGTGGTCTAGTGGCTAAGGTACTCGGCTGCTGACCCGACGGTCGCGGGTTCAAATCCCGGCTGCGGCGGCTGCATTTCCGATGGCGGCGGAAATGTTGTAGGCCCGTGTGCTCAGATTTGGGTGCACGTTAAAGAACCCCAGGTGGTCAAAATTTCCGGAGCCCTCCACTACGGCGTCTCTCATAATCATATGGTGGTTTTGGGACGTTAAACCCCACATATCAATCTATCAATCTCACCTAGCAAATATATTCATGGGAATTCTAAAAACCTACTTCCTATCTCACGGTGAGAAGAAACCTCACACGTACCTTCTGTACTTAGCTGACATAATTATAATATGGGGACATGGGCGCAAAACCTAGATAAATTCAATTCAAAGCTAAACTCATTTCACACAATAATAAAGTTCACCTCTGATAGCTCGAGTGAACGCATCAACTTTCTAGACACGACCATTTATCTTGAAAATGGTGCACTAAAAACAACTTTGTAAAAAAAAACCGTTTGACTAGCAACTATACTAAGAATGTACAAGCCACCAACAAAGATACTGTAAACAGGGCAATTTCAAGTGTCAGGCAACAAGATTACGCCACATATGCATAAAGAACGAAGATTACGTGAACAGACTTACCGCCCTAAGGCGATCACTAAGAGAAAGAAACCAACGTTGCACATTCTTTTACAAATACTATACGGACGCACTGGAACTGGACCGCAATGAAGCACTACATTCGCGCTCTAAAAGCACACCAATAGCAACTACACCTCTTCTCAATACAAAGATTTCAAATGCTTTCCTGAAGATAAACAACATCCACACAAAATATTATCTAATTCTAACAACGAACCAGAAACTTAAAAAAAATAGTTCTCATACCGCCTTAGGTCACCTACAGACGCGACGCTAGCTACAAAGACATGCTTGTTCACGCGAAAACTAAAGAAAAGGCTAGGACAACGTCTGGCCCCTGTGGCTGGCCGAGATGCTCAACCTGCAAACATATACAGCTGGCCACCAACGTAAAAGCACAGCATCTGAATACATTCACAAGGTGACATCAAGCTTCACCTGTACTTGTACCAACCTACTATCCTGTCACAAGTGTGGCACTTGTCGAAAACAATATATAGGCGAAACTGGGCAGCTAATTCACGTATGACTGAACGGCCACCATGCAGACACAAAGCACAGTTTACCAAAAGCCGTAGCCACTCACTTCACTCCACAGGACCACAATGTCGACAAACCAAAGTTTTACGTTCTGCGAGCTAATTTTCGATCACTGAAACGAAATGTACGGAATCGTATTTGACACACAATTTTCAGTCGCTCAGTCGCTACAACCATCAAGAATCAATGTTGCGTGTGGAAATTTGGAGTCGCTAAAAGCCATAGCATAATTGCAGCAATATTTACAAAGACAAGATACGTTCAGCACTCACAAAGACATAACTGGTATAACATGAAATCTCTCCTAGTCTACATATAGTACCATTGTTCTTCTCTTTCATTTTTTTATTTTAAATATGTATATGCTTGTGTCTATACACAACTACGAAGATTTGATTTCTAGAACTCTCAGCCACTGTCTTTTCTCGCTTTCGAAACCAATCGTGCCGCGCATCGTTAGTCATTGCCAACACAGAAAGTTCTCAGAGTCACCTCCACCCCACCCCTCATTTTTTCCCGGTTTGTTAGCCTTAACGTCCCACCTATCCCCACCTTGCTTCATTCATTCCGTTTTTCCTATCTTTTTCTCTTCGTGTGTCTTTCGTCGTTGCGCATTTCCGTATAATTCTCAATTATCCTTTTTCTAAGCCAACATGCCGTTAAATTCTTTAGGCAGTTTCGCTCAGTGGGCCACCGACGAGGATACCCAAAGAATATTTTCTCCAATGACCGTCAACAATAAAAAACGTGATCTTCCGACCCGATCCGGCATCGCTTACTTTCGGCGTCTTGGCATATAAAAGTACGCCGCCAGCTTCTCCCCGCCCCCCTCCTTTTTTTGTAACCACGCTTCGTGTTATGAGTACCACTCATAGTTTTTCGGGAACAGGCGTATACCACTACTGTCGGCAACCTTTTGTAGTGGCCGGACTCGGTCACCGTCTGCCAGCTTCAAAATTTCAAGCTCTTTCACTTTTTTGTGTCTGTAGCGGACACTGCTTTGCAGCACACCCCTCCTAGGCAGCGTGTTTTTCTGCCTGTTTTCTTTTTTTCTTTTTTCCTTCTATTTTTTTCCTTGTTCTCCCTATACTACAAGAATATAATTACCGTGAATGAAACGAGAACTGCATTCCTCTGCTCTATAGTTTTTATTTTTCCAGACGGCAATTGCCAACAGGGACACGCGCCACCACCGGAAGATGAAGTCACTATTAACCCTCCTAAAATCAACACACCAGAGATGTCAAGGTGCCTTTGCCGAAGATATGCTCTTCTATCGAAACGACGGCCAGCTCGTCCAAGGCAATTCTACAGTTCAACCTGACTATCCCACTACGTGTTTCCATCTGTCGGCTCCCATATAGATTTTGGATTTTGCAAATTTTGAGCTGCTTGCCGTTTTTAACGTGACTTTGTATTTTTCTTCCTGTTCCTGAAAACTTGCACATAAATGCTCAAGTAGCTCTCTGAAGAGCAGTTTCACTATCGTATTATACCAACCGCCATGTCGAGCAAATGCCGCTTTCAAATGCGAAGCATTTTTTAGCCAGCTTCTACGACTTCGAGCGTATCTATCTATCCAGCCGCCTAGGACTTTTATCTCTTCTGGCCGTCTTGATAATGGTATCAATGCCAATATTAGTATTACTTAACATGACTATGTAGGAACAATAATTGCCGAGTCAAAACTTGGAAATGATGATATGTATGTCATGAATGTCATTATTTACAATTCATAGTCTTTCGGCCCTTGCAGGTGGTTTCGTTCACACGACATTTAGCAAAAGTAGTATTTTATGACATGACTGCATTACAGACAGAAATCACAGACCCTAACCTGGTAATTATGACATGCATGTCTTGATTTTAATGTTATAGCTACTTATGACTACACGCCACGCTCATGGTGCACTCGTTGTCGTTTTGCTAGCTTAAAATATACGAAATTTTGTATTTCTGGACGGGAATGATTGACAAAGGTAAATGACTTGTCCAAACATGACAACAATGACTTGCGTGTTATGAAAACACGACAACAAGCAACACTCATAACACGCTCGCAGCCATTTTGCTAGCTTCATATATACCAAATTTGGCATCAGGTGATGTGCATAGACGACGCAGGTAAGTGACACGCCCAAACATATACTCAAGATATGCATGTCATGTAAAACATGACCACTTTCTACGCTCTTAGCGTGCTCCTTTACGTTTCGCTAGCTCCACACATACGACATTTGCTAATATATGACGTGAATGACACGTTCAAAAGACACGTCCAAGTATTTTCCCATTAGATGACGTGATTTACGCGTCCAAAGATGATAATCTGGATATGTGCATCATGTGAAAGATGACTACACGCTACGCACATAACGTGCTAGCAGCCGTTTCACTGGCAGCATATATACCGAATTTCGTATCAGCTGACGTGAATAGACGGCAAGGTAAATGACACGTCCGAACATGATAATCATGACATGTGTGGCATGTAAAACATGACTGCATGCTAGGCTCATGTGCTCACGGCCGTTTCACCGGCTCTACCTATACCCAATTTGGTAATACCTGACGTGATGGACGATGAAAGTAAATGACGCGTCCAAACATAATAATCTGGATATGCATGTCATATAAAACATGACTACACGCTACGCTCACTGCGCGCTCGTGGCTCTTTGGCTCGTTCAACCAATATTAAATTTTGTATAGCGTTACGTGAATGGACAATGAAGGTAAATGACACGTCCAAACATGATAGTCATGACATGCGTGTGATGTAAATTATGACTACATGCCAAGATCATAGTGTCCACACAGCCGTTTCGCAAGCTCTACATATTACGTCATGTGACACTAAATTTTGTATCACGTTACGTGAATAGACTACGAAGGTGAATTACACATGCAAACATAATAATATTGGCATGCAAATCATGTCTGGCACAAATTACGTCCACCTCCTAGCACTGTGCTGACTTTAAAGTTACATAACAAACCTCTCTAATTCGTGCTTCGCATATCATCGATACCAACACTACGTGGAATCGGTTATTTTTTTACTTATTATATTCACAAACATTTATTGTTATCACAGACATGTATGCTAATTGATGGCTTTGCTTTTTATAATAATGGTTTCAATTTCGCTTCGTCGATATACAAACTTCCGCAAGATGCTGCTCATCTTCATGATCCTTCTTAGTTTTTCGAGCGTTATGTATGACAAACTGAGATGGCACAACGCTAAAAATTCATTAAATTTCGCGCCACTTTTTTGTGACTAGTATTTCTCGGGTGACATTCGTGTAGGTTTCCTGAAATTGAATTTTCTAGAAGAAACCTTATGCAGGCGGCTTTACAATTCTTACTAAATATAACATTTGTTATTCCTAATGCTACGCAATACAGGAAGGCGTTCATAAACACACAAGGTGGATATAACAATATTTCAGAAAATTCCTACCTATGGCAGTGCCAACAAGCACAACAAGACCGATTCCTTGGCAACCTCTCATGATGTTGTCCCCTGTGAAAAGCACACATCCCAATATTTGTAAGGAAATGCGCAGGAAGAATAATTCTATCAAAACGTTTTAAGACGTCAAACTATACTTATTGCATATTGAATAAGGAACAACATTACGGACTTCAAGTCTGATTTATAAAGTACCAAATTTATTGGATAGCAAAATTTTCACACACGGAAAGATTGCACCGTGAAGAATTCTCTGGGACTTCACCGGAGCAGCATCACGACCTTAGGAGGGTAGTCTTGTTTGCTGCTTTGTCTGCCTTTTTAATAAATCAAGATTCTTCCATATTTTGGCACAAGTGTGTTTTATAACCCAAAGCAATTAAATCATTATAAGGTCAAAGAATGATATCACTACACGAAATAGTGACGAAGGTTTACTCAAACAAACGGTTAAAGAGTGAGTTCGATAACACTGGACTGCTTCTATATAATAATACATCACTCGCATCGTATACCTCAGTAAACTGCGTGAAGTCAAGTGCATCCTTGAGTGCGTATTCCACACAAATATTTAAAACAAGCACAGTAATTTACACCGCAATATCTTGATTTCTTTTCGGTGAGAAGTGCCGTATTTGATGACTGATTTAACAACTGAACAGCCTAATATAGCACGCGCATAGCATTCCTTAGGGCTTATATACCGAAGAAAAAATTTCGTTAGGTCAAAGTGAAGATCCATGAGGGTAAATGTTTTATATGAAGTAACAATTTGAGCCTTCCCTACGATACGGCACTCATATTTATAACATTTTTTTCGTGTAGATGAATAAATAACTCGAGGAATTTCTGTTCTTAAATATCTTCTGCACAAAATGCAGTTGCCACATTAGAAAACATTTGTGTTGATCGTGATGGCAGGATTTTAATGTGTACCACTAGACTGGGAGAGTTATGAGCGTGCCTGTCAGCATATTGTAATTTGAAATACTTCAAAGATGTCTGAAAGGCAGAATGCAGAGCAGAACGAATAGAAATATATTCACAAATGCAAGCTTCCATTTCTTACCTTAGGTACTGCAGAAAGCAGCAGGCAGTAATCGTGAAAGTATGTGGTGTTCTGAAGAGACAAATCACCCGCACTTTTATATACAGTGATTAGCCAAGGGAAGCAATCATAATGTAGCTCACCATGAAAAAAAATCAACAGATAGACTAACCGGATAACATGCCACAGTCGTTCAACACAATGCAATTTTGAAGGATGGGTATATTAGCATACAAAAATTGAATAAATTGTATATGACTAAACTGTCAACCTCTATGAAACACTAATAACACGTCATATTCCCTCTACACCTATTTAAGAAATGACACGAACAATTTTATGTGATAATATTAGTAACAATAGCTCTGAAAAATTTTAATAATAAACGGTATTTAAACTGTCACTCAATCAAAAACACATCTCACGCAGCGCATTTGTGTCAAACAAAAATATGATACAAAGCGTAGACAACGATTCATTCAACATGGAGCTTCTGCCATTGAAATCAATTAAAAATAATTACAGCTCCATATTTAAAGATGGAGGAATATCATTAAGCCCTGTAGATAAGACGAAAGCTAGTGAAAAAGTGTATTTGAACCCTTCCCCAAAAAAATAATTTGCTTGACTTGTAATTGTGCGAGAATGCTTTGGCAAAGTTTCTCAGCCTCGTGCTTCGAAAATCTACTCAAATGTGCGACATCTTGTCGGGCAATTTCAAATTTCTTGCAGAATTTTCAAAGACACTTTTACGCCCGCGTATCTTTCTACGTGAAGCTAGAAGAATAGTCGTCTTGGCAGCATTTTTAAAATGCGATAAATTGTGGTTTTTAACAATGTAACCAACTAGGATTTGTTTTCTTGTATACATATTTTGTATTACACTTTCAAGATCACTCTGCCTGCATCAACGAATGGTGAAATCTACAACGCTAATGTGATAACACATAAAATTTCTTGTCTGTGGTCCCGAGAAAAGTAACAGGTTTAGGCGACGACATAACCAGAGGCCAATATGGGCCTGATTAGAACATAAGGTGACAATATAGTTGTCCGCATGCAAATGTTGCGAGTACTTTTATTTACTTAACAATCAAGGCTTGTATGTACTACTTGGGTCTGCTGACAATGTCTGGTTCAGCTGTTTTTCGTATCACCTATTTCTTGAAACAAGTCCAGTTCCCGACGTGCTCCGAAAGTCACGTCTTACCTTGAGGTACTTACCGGTCACCGCGACAACGTGTTCACTGTTCCAGCTACGGATACTTTGCTCCTGCACTCTTCTGCTAGCCTTAAGAGAAGCCCACAACTGTTATCACTTTTTACACCTCTCTGTACTGTAAAATGTACGAAACTTGAACTGCCCCTGTTCGTCAACCGTTGCCTCGACATTTACAACAATGAAAGTTCCATCACTAACGGCCCGGTGTCTACAGCTTAACCATATTCTTATGTGACCTGCGTTGGTATGACGGAGGTCTTCCTCACAAAGCATACCTTCCCAACATGGTGAGCATTTACGAATGATATCAAGAGCATAAAACAGCCGATCCAGTGTCACTTTGATCCCACCTCCGCTATCGACTCGAGAAGATTTTGGAAGCAGTAGTTGTCAGGCATGACCACGCCAAACACTCTACTGAACCTGCTGTGTGAATGATTTCCACTTTGAGGCTGCTGCAATATCTTGTTTGGCAGTTATATCTAGGCGCGCTGACTTTACCAATGGCCTTTTAGCTGTGGTACTTGCCTGAACACATGCGCGCCTCTCTATCGTGGTGTCGTCTGCCCCTCTACATTCTCAATTACTGCGGGACATGCGGCCACAAATCGCATTACTGTCATCGTTGCGAGCTGATTAAAAGAATGAATGAAAGAATGAATGAAACAATGAATGAATAAATTTCTCGCTACTATTCAGGCATCCTTGTTCTGCACGTCAATAAGAAGGCACTAAACAAGCGATATAAACTGAAATAAAGAATAATTTAGGCTCCAAAATCCAGTCAAGACGCCGAAAAAGCAGGACAACCATACGAGGCATTCAAACTAGTAATCAGGAAAGGACGCGCCTAGTACTGTGTCGAATACAAGTCATACAGCACTACCAATGGAGTATTAGTCCAGTTGTTTTCGAGGACGAGAAAAAAGCAATTTTCAAGACAGTTGCATGCGCAACAGCATTTATTTAAAACAAACACTGAAAACATTACCAATAAAACTTTACATTTAACCAGAACCTGAAAAATGCCAGATATGTTAACTAAGGTGAGGAGTAGGAGCGGTGACAGCCTACGAGACATTTTGTAAGTGTACACTGAAATTCAGTGGTGACATCACAAATTATGTGGTGATTTGGCGTCATTATATTAAAATAGCTGCTGCCTCAAACAATCAAAACCAAGGATCTCGTGATGAGTATAGACCATTTCTGTCAAGTTCGGTTTGGTGACTAGTATGGTTAGGTTTCATAGTCGCGTAAAAGCTTGGGCTGCACGTGTCTTGGCGAAAGACTATATTGATGGATGATGAATCAAAACTTTATTGAGGTTCTGAAGCATTAAACCCCCGTTTTATAGGGGTAGGATCGCGGGCCGCTCTCAAGTATGGATGGGAACGACTAGCCTAACCACCGCAAGATGCGCCTTACGGACAGCCTTAAGTTGTTGAATGAGAGCCGCACTCGCGAGCATCAAATAGAAGGAATATTCAGAATAGTCTTCATTTTTTCCTTGTAAAATGGGGCACGTCCACAACATGCGGTTAAAATCACTGCGAATGTGGCAGTCCGGAGAAAGTTATGAAATGTTACTAGGCTAGACTAGGATCCCGTCTGAAGCATGCGAAGAGAGATTGCCTGTGGCCTAGACAACTTTTTGTGTGGTAATGGAAAGGACCTACGGCCAAATTGATAGTGCTTCGTGATCTCGTTGAAGGTAGTGAAAATGTCCCAAAAATGAAGGTTGGGGGCTGATTGCTGTGTCTGAGAAGCACGAGTCCCGGTGCGGTAAGTGAAGCTTCATGCCTTGGAGTGGGCTAGCTCGTTGACATTGGGAGGTCCTCCGACCTTCAAGCCAAGGTAAGCAGGGAACCAAATATTAGTGTGGTGGGTGAGTTCTTTGTGGGCTAGAGTTCTAAAAACTTCTTAACACACGAAACCAGAAGCGAACGCCTTATCAGCGGATTTAAAGGTCGTATAATTATCAGTGCTTTGTCGATCAAGCACGGCTAGTCCCATGGCCATCTGTCCTGCTCTGTGAGAATAAGTGGTTTGAAAAGACGCAAACGATAAAATCTGACCCTTAGTATCTACGGTGACTACTGCAAAGTAAGCACAAACGCCGTACTGAGCGGCATCAAAACAAAATAAAATTGTGCCTTCGATCTCCAAACGTTTATTTCTATTAGGGCATCACTGCCGGTGCTGCTCGTTAGGAAGATATTCGCAAAATATTCGGTATTATCAATACGGGCATTTCATCCTAGTACCAAATCGAACAAAGCAATTGTCCAAGTTTTTATGCTTTTTGATATTCACAAACCCCTAGAAGGTGTGACGATTTTGTATGACAATTTTGTAACGAATAAAACACACATGTGCATTTTTGCTAATAATAATAGTAATAATAATATTATTAAGAATAATAATAATAATAATAATACATTCCTATTAGGAATGCTTAAATTTACAATATTAATACTATATATGACGGCGTAATTGTGTCAAATATTCGTGCAGTGGACTGTAGCCGAGTCTTTGATGAAACTTACATAGAAATACAGGATGCCGAAGAAAGGTCGCTGTTCGGTTACTATACTTGGCTAAGGTGTCCTCTAAGATAGGCTGTCAACTTTCTAGCTGTTCGAAAAATGCTATATGCTGTACCTTTGTATCGAAAATTAAAGACGTACTAATTGAAAAATACACACTTGTGATCATTTACGGTGATATTAGGCTGTGCATTTAGTTGAAACATTTTTTCCAGGCTTTCTTGACTGTCTACGTCATGACCAAAAACGACTATGTCCTCAATATAGCAGCCCATATATTGGAATACTTTTCAAGTCTTCCATCACTGATGATTTAAAGATTGCAGGAGCTTTGGAGATGCGATATGGCAAAGGCTGAAACTGACATGATTTCAAATGCGTGTTAAGAGTTTAACAACGCTTTGCTTTCCTCAGCAAATGGTACATATTGATGGGCTTGTAATAGATCTAGTACAAAGAAGACCTCGCCTCCGGAAAGCGTGGAATACAAATATTCTGGCAGGGGCAAGAGATAACGGTCCGTTTTTTGGATAACTTTTTGCAGATCGCTTCCAAGTGGCCAATTTTGTTACAATTTGTGCAGGTGTGGTTCTGATACCAACATATTTCTGCTTAATGATTCTTTTCTATAAAGCCAACAGACACTTCGTTGCTCGTTATCATGCCCATATTCAGATCATGAAGCTAACCTTTGTCTGGCTCCCCTATCACAGTCGCAGTCGCCGCGAATCACGTTGAATCGACTTTAGCGCAATCATTCTCGCATTTCTGTTAGTATTGCCTGTGTCTCTATACCCGGACTAGATAGCAAGTGTCAAACACCCGTGAACCATATCTGCGCACCCAAGTCCGCGGTATCCGTGTATGAGTCGCACGGCAATGGACTAAAGGGCTTCAAGACATACATGAATAAATTTTCACGTTATTGAATGATGATTACAATCATGTTTTACAGACTCTCTTAACCTCCTGTTCGTATTCTGGTCTGCAATAAAATAATGAGGCGATCATAATAGTACGCAGACGTAGGCGGCTACATAAATAGCTAGGTGGATAGAAACGCTCAAAGTGCCTGCAGTTTCTTAAGAATTGCCTCAAAATAAAAGTGTAAAATACGCTATGGTCCACCTTTGTGCACTAATGACACAAAAAGAGAGCCTGTTTTTCTCTTCTTTTTTAAAGTACTGGGGCCTAGGTTTTGCGGTGGATCTCACATAATAAAAAATTGAGTTAGATCTAAATTTGCATCTTTTTAAACGGCGAACATTGCAGTATATGTTTAGTTACATTAGTCAAGTCTAACGTGGGAATACTTCACCACCTACAAAATACTGATGTTTTGAAATACCTTAAAACAA